TTTTTCTTTTTCTCACGCTGATATTCCATCTGTCGAGACATTCGAAAGCGGCGCGCGACGCGGCGACAGTTCATACAAGAGGGGGAGTCGACGCGAATGAGTTATACCGCTTTTACCGAAAAATCTTTTCTTTTCTTCGCTGTCCGTTAATCACATATTGCGTTCGGATAGACTTACAAGTTGACATTTTATTGCTGGCTGTCTATATAACAAGTGGTTGTACTCACTTGGAGAATTAAGAATTTACGCGAGGCGCATTAATCGTGACACCGGGAATCAGAAGCTTTTTTCCCAACGTCGCGCGTCCGTCGAATTTTCCTCGATAATGATGCACGAGCCACACTGGCTCGCGCACTCGATTAAAGATATGTAAGCTTGCTTTTCGCGTCTCGCTCCCGTTCATCGCGGTCGCGTACATTCGCAATTACGTCAAATGGATTTCCTAATTGCACAGGCGCGCGCTGCCAAGGGAGATTGCCCTGTGCGCGTTCGATCGCGCAAGAAAAAACAAACTCACCGTCATTTCCTCCTTCCGTTTTCTTATTTCTCTTTGCCGCGTCCGAGTTATTAGATGCAGTGCGCGAGCGTCGCTCAGTAAGTACGTGGCAATTTTACGCCTTCGATGCTGATTTCTTTTTTTTTTTTTTCCTTATTGTACAGTCTGATGGGTGTTTGCGTTCGGGAGTTGGCTACCGATGTAATTAAACGGCCTGTTATTGAGGCTTTCGTGTAATTACTGGTTTATCACGGGAAAAGTTGGCATCGGTAATCTCGTGACTAGTTTTGCGAATGATATTGTAAGATATTTCCGTTACATTGAAGTGCCGTGCCGCTCGGTATGCCACTTATTGATACATTAAATGTATATTATTCAATCGAACGATAAACCTCGTCGGATCGAATTGGCACCGAGGAGACAGGAGAAGCGCTCGTGCGACGCAATGGAGGCTGATTGGCTTGCGCAACTGCGTAAAATTTCGCAGGCCAAACAACAAAACGCGCGCGCGAGAGCGCCTCCCCATCCTCGTTACTTATTTGCTGTCATTTTTGTGTCACTGGAATTCTGCCAGCTGAACGTATAGTGTCTGCGAGCTCTCGCTTGGGCCGCCTGCGCGTGTACCCTAAACCGTAAGCGTATACATATACGCGCGCGTACGCATTTCCTAATATCCCCGTCGCCGTGTGAAATTTATCTGCGCGAGATACGCGCAAGGAAGGTTTTTGTGCTTCGGTTCTCCAATTTATTATTCTCATTATTTACGCGTGTGATTGAGCGAGACACAGCGCGCCGCCTGCGCGTGTTATTTTGGACTTTTTATTGCGAGACTGAATTGCCGTTTGAGCGATCATTGCCAAATTGTTATTGAGCGGTCAAGAGAAGCCGTGGCGTCTAATTCGCCAAACGAAATGAAAATCCGAACGCGGATCAAGGACACAAGGAACATTAAACAGTAGAGGCAGGAGCACGCACGTGAAAATCAATCTGTCCAATATTTATTTTGCCTCCCACTCACTTGCCCACGCGAAAGACACCTGACACTGTGTCTCTTTGGTTTGTGAATTCTCACGAGCCCAGCGAGATCCAGAGACAATGGCGCTCGGCAACGGCAGTTCGCACGAGTTGAGATGCATAATAATGTTTCGATGGGAGTGCTGGCGCAGATAGCGATTTTGACGTGTTTATCGACTCGCTGATAAAGTGCGAATATATTTATATGCTTTTTCGCGATATCGACAGTTGCGAAAAGGTTCAAACTCTCGGCGACTGTATAAATAAACGCGGGACGTTGCCCAAGAAGCGAAACAATGTGTCGCATTTATAAAAGACGCATACAGCGGATTTCGGATTTATCGGTTATATATTTATTGTGATTCGTATACATCGCCCGACCGGTATTGCGCAAACGCAGGTGCGAAAATTCAATCCGATTCCCGGAATCGCGCGGACGCCTACGCTGTGCGAGCGTGGATTAGCATACATCGATAAATTTTGATGGTACGTCTACTGCCGCATTCTTCGGGTTTTCTCTTTTTTTTTCTTCGACGCGCTCGAATGCCCGACTTGGAACAATGTTTTCGTCTTTCTCTGATTTGCCGAATATAAACTAATATAATAGAAACCTTCTTAGAAAATAATAAATAAATAAGGCTCGAGGCTTATCAAACAATTGATACCTCAACGATCAATATCGGTTGGTTTTGCAATATTTTACACCACGTACACGAGGGATCGCCACATTAACATACTAATTTGAAGAAATTCTTCGCAGGTATTTTTTTTTTAATTGACAACTTTTTTTCGTTGTATTGATTGTCATAAGCTCGAGATTTATACGCTATGACTCGCGCAAATTCCAATTCGTTTAGAACGAGCGGCTTGCTTGCATATATACGTTGCAATTTATAAATATTCAAGCTTATGTTTATTTTAGTGTTGGCTGTTCTATGCTGTAAATTATACATATTTCTTTCTCCGATACCGCGGAGTAACGAAAGAGCGATACCACAAATAATTTCCCGATAGCACGCAGAAAAATCAGTGACGCGGGGCACGCGTCGAAACAAAGGTTTGTCGTGACAAGGGATCGTCGTGGGCACGCGACGGGAAGCGCGCGTTTGTTGAAAAAGGGGGAGGAAAGGGCAGCGCGCATGCCGTATTAAACGCGCGAGGAGGAGCTGCCGCTGCCGGCGCGCGTCACCTTTGCGATGAGCCCCGCCAAGCGTGAAGCGACACACGCCGCTCGCGCGCCCGCGCCGCGTGTACGCGCGCGAAGTTTCACGCGCTAGCGCAAACCGAATGCAGCGCGCTTTCACTTGTTCACTGCTCGTCGTCGTCGTTGTCGTAGTCGTCGTCGTCGTCGTTGTCGACGTCGTCTTCGTCGTCGTCCCTCTTTTCGATTTTTTTCTGTTTAGTGCGGGCCTCCATTTGATGATCGCGATCTTAGATATATCGAGCGGAGGTTTCTCATTAATTGGGCTACTGCACTGTAGCGTGAATCGATGTGAAGCTGATGCACGGGTGGTTTCGTATTAGTCACCACTCGAATGTCCGAGAATGTGATTGATCTATTATACCGCAATGACGAGCAAAAAAGCTGATAGGTAAATTTACTGAAAATTTGTGCGATATGCACTGATTTCTTACTTTTCAATTGGCTAAAATAGGTATGATGTGTCTTATTAGCGAAAAGAGCAATCAACACCTGGAGGTTTATCACAATAAAAAATCAATTCTAATAAAACTAACTAAATAAAGCAAAAGCCAAAGCCAATGTCTGTCTTACCTCGGGCACGCGCGGACTCCTCCACATAAATGCACCTCTGCTCTGTACGACAATCTCGCGCGCATATACGCAAGGATGTATTCTTCAGAGCAGGCAATGAAAAAAAAGTCCTCATACATATATCTAAATATATAACATCATGCATACACATATATAGTAGGGGTTGAGATACGCCTCTCGGGGCCGTCGGCGCGTGTCCGCTCCACTTCCGACGCTTAGCGCCGCGACGCTCGGCCGAGCGTGTCGCAGGTGTATCACACACGTACACATAGAGCGCCGAACGCCCCCGCATCGAACGCGGAATAGCCTTGCTCCACAACTCTCTCAAACAAGATACGCGAGCGTCATCCCCTGTTTTCGTATATGTATATATATTGCTGTGTGTTATTATTTGCGCGCGCGCCAAAGCTTCGCAAGCGTGCAGGGGACAGAGCTGGCGTTCTTTCTGACGGGCAACAATTTTTGCATGATCGCCGAACGATAGTACAGTTTGATTGAGTTCGCTTGCTCTTTTCGCGCGATCGAAGCTTGACCTTTTATCTGCTCGTCGCGAGATGATCTGCGACGGCGAGATCGGATAGCCAATCTCGACATTATTACGACTTCATTTTTCCGATTGTACGGAATGCATTCACTTTGAATATCATTTTCGGGAAACTATTATAAAAGCGCACATGCGCAATTCACTATCACATATCTATTTAAATTCAAAGCTCACTATAATTAAACGGCAAAACCGCACCACTCTAAAATAGTTTAGAAACCTCTGACGTAAAACGCAACAATTCTATTTTCCACGTGGCACAGTAGCAGCAAACCATCCAACCATTCCGCACTCTTGCGATAATTTCTTTATAAAGTTACGGACGATGCTCTCGTATCACTTTTTCCCAGTGCAAAAAAAAAATTATAACGTTTTTTTCTCCCCCCCCCCCCCCCCTCTCGCTGCATATAGTCTACCGCACAGGGCACTTGGTGAAGAGATTTAATCGGGATTTATTGAAAGAGCGCCGATGACGTAACCCCCGGCAAACGATACGATGATGTTGCTTTGTCGCGTGTGTGCTATGCGCGCACGCGCATCATTTTCGATAATAAAAATAAACGGGTGGATTGTTAATGCTCGCGAGTGTATAGGCGTACGTTTTTTGTTTGGTTGCCGTTTTGTTTGAAAATTCCGTGTGTAAATTTGACCTATCAAGCAGTGTTGGGTCGACCGTGTGTGGTGCCTGTCCGCATCCTTTTTTTTATATGTCGAGACCTTTCCTTATTTACGAAGCATTATGTCACGAATGTTTAAGATTTACTCGTCTTCTTTTCAATAAGAATAGATAGATTAGAATAACTTGGGGCTTGGCTGATATTTTTTTATAATTTATCGCAGAAATATCTATCACTAAACACCGCTGATTTTCATCCTGCTACGAGTACACATGCAAAGCACATTCTTCATTTTCAAGCTGAAATCCAAAACCCAAATGTTAGCAGAAAAACCATGACTTTTCTGTAATACATGTTTCCACCAAAATTCAAACTCAATAAATTCTCCGAATCGCTCTACACACGTGAATTCTAGCGTTAATCGATACCGCTCTTTAAAAAAAAACGCTCAAAAGTATCCGCCCGCACTAAATCACTAGGCAAGGAAATGAATGCGACATTTGAGATAATATCCACTTATCCGTCGGTCTTCGATAGGAGATATACATTACTCACCCAATGCTCCTTAAAATCAGCGGCGCAGGAGCCGCATGCGTGCGATATCGTTGTGTTGAAACCTTCGACCGCGAGACCCAGCGTAGCAGATTTTTCTCATATGTCAAGGCAATATACAGATAAACAGCTTATATTCGATCAAGCCGCACTTCGCCTACCTATACTCTCTTTTTTCTCGCCTCAGAGTATATGCATATCAATAATAAAAAGCACTTATCTTATCACTCTTTCTGGTCTTCACACGCATAGTCAACAACACAACATATACGATCTATATACAACAAAAACACACGAGGAGTTCTTAAAAGAATGTATATATATGTATATATATGTGTGTATATATATACACATATATATATGAAATAATAACATATATAGCATGTATAAAGCAAGGCACGCTAGCGCGGTCTCGCGCCGACTGCCGAGCAAGTCCGTTCCGAGAGTAGCGCGGCTGATCTGTTTCCCCTTCTCTCTCGGCACCACTGTCGTCGTTCGTCGCCGTCCCCATACACATTTCGCTCTCTCTCTCTCTCTCTCTCAGGTTCTTCCCCCCTGCTCGATTCTCACTACTGCTGCCGCTGCGGCTTGGCCGCCCTCGTACGCCCCCTCTATGCGGCGCCGCGCGTTGCGTGTGTGCGCGCGATATACACGCCTTTTTTCTCGCCGACGACGACGACCGAGAGAGAGAGAGAGAGAGAGAGGACTACTGCCGATTTGTTTTTGTTTGTCGCCAGCTGACCATTGCGTGCTTGCTGCGAACGTTTTCTTTTCTTTTTTATCTTTGCCACGATTTCGATGAGGTGTCTGTGATGTAATTGCACGCAAGATGCAAAAACGCCCGAGGATCTTTTTTTTAGCAGTTTTGCCGTTGCTTTTTCCGATGACTGAGGTTTTTGAAGTCGATGCTTGATTAGTTGGGATGTTTTATTCATTGAACGCGGATGATGATGGAATTCGAAGAAGTCTGATTGTGAGATGAATGTCGAGGCTTGATTGAAAATATATTTTAAGAGTGTGAAACTAATTTTGTTATAACCCAATAAAGCTTTGAAATTTTCATTGAATATCAGAACTGACAGTGGGCATATTATTAATTATATGACCCACCGAACGGTTTAGTCAATACTGGTAATGATAAATTTTTTATGAAACAACTATAATTTATTTAGTCACTCGACTTCCAAGTTATGATTAAAGAGAGTGAAATATGTACGTGTATATATCAGTGGCAGTGCTATATGAAAATTGCTTTCAAGCTAAAGTTTCAATTATTCAATTATGATTATAGTCTTTTATCACACTACTCGCATTTGATATACATACATACACGCATTCGCATCGGAGCCTTAATCGAGCAGTGCTAATTTGGTAACTCTAAGTACAAATATACGCGTTGTAATTTTGATCGACAACCACGATAATCAGAAATATGTGGAACAATAAAAATGAAATCCACATTAAATATTTATTCAGCTTACTGTAGATTGCAAACAAAAACGTTAAATACCCTGTATAATCCCTATGATCACCATCGAAAAATCTCTTCCCTCCCCCCTAAGTCTATACCAATCCAAAGAAACACGGGTTGCTATATTTCCCGCGCGCGCGAGTATCTGTGTATATGTGTGCGAGAGAGAGAGAGAGAGAGAATGAGAGAGAGAGAGAGAGAGAGAGAGAGAGAACACCTATACACGCGATTGCGCGCGAGGAAGCTTGAACCACGCCTACCGATACGGCGCGGGGGAAAATGAGCAAGAAAGAGACAAATGGACGTGTAGAAAGAGATAGAGAGGGAGAGAGAAAGAGAGAGAGATCGCCTAGGTGCATCTCACTCACGACTGCAGTGGCTTTTGCGATTCTTCCGCATTAAACGTGCATCGTTGGTGATTGGAGTTAGACAAGTAGCGAGTTCTAGTTTGGATTTGATTGGAGATGATATTGCGTGCTATATAGGAAATGCATCGGTGTTTAGCTAAAGAAAAATTGTTTTCACTCTTCGATAACAAATGAAAATTCATTCGATTAGAATGACGGTTGAACTTCAAATTGATATATTACAATGATAGTGAATATAAATTATATAAATTCATGGATTTAATAACGATCAATTATGTATAGGGGTTACGTCCAATTAAAAATTTATTAATATTTCACAATCACTTTTCCCTTGCAGCATATCGAATATTATCAATAAAATACACGTACATTGAATAACATCGTAAAATTAAATCATTAAAAACATGATACAAGGAGCAGCTGTTGTATAAGGTTCATTAAGGCGCCACGTCGAAGAGCGACGACGAAACAAAAGTCTTTATTAAAATAGCTTACCTCCCGTCAAAAAGTTACGTATATCAGCGGAAAAAATCAACTGCCCACGCAGGGGGTGGCACTGAGGATAAAATCCGGTTTCCTTCAACGGAAAAACCATATACGCGCGCGCGCGCGCGCGCACGGCAGTGAGAGGGAGAGATGCCACCGGTCGCGCACAGCGCCCAGAGACGAGAGAACGAGTTTCTTTGCCTTCACGGGAAAAAGATGCGCTGAGTGCACTTGTCGCGCTGGGATTTCAAAGTGCACTGGCACCGCTGCAGTGATTATTATATATACGCCAGAAGATTGGCCAATGTCCCTGATGATTAAAATCAATATAATTAAATGCACTTGTGCGTGGATATTCGTGCACTCGTAAATTCGGATACATTTGAATAGACTTACGTGAAATATTCATATTTCTTCGTTTATTTTCAACGGCAAAGTTTTATTGGTGAGCTTTCGAGAATCAACGATCATCGCGTGTTAGTTGTATATCAATCCTTTCAGATCATATCAGTTAAAAGTCAATTTAAAAAATATCAAATTAAAAAAAAACAATTATCGAGATTTATTCAAAAGCAATCGCAAAACAATCAAGAAAAGGAGAATGAATAACCGCGGATATTCTTTACTCCTTGCAGAAAAGGGTAGACAGAAATGCAAAGTACGATAGAGAAATTGATGAACCTGAATTCTCAATGATTCTTTGCCTATAGGTACATGCGTACGTTTCCGATCCACACGCCAAGCGAAACAAATTGTAACGGCCTGCTTGAAGAAGACGAATTTCGCAATCTCGTTGATATGCTTGAGTCTAACGACAATATAAATCTCCGCAATTACGAGAAAAGTATGCATTATATTCTCGGAAGCTTTCAGAAATGTAAGAAGGTAACGTAGCAAATAAACGTGCGCGGGTGAGTCAACTTCATACGACGCGACGTGAGTGTCTGACTTGTCGCAGCATTTTCTTAACTGATATACTACATCTACTTTGCGACACGTAGGACGGTTATTATTTTCTAATATTGGACGATAAATTGTTGGTATGCTACAGTCGCTGTACTATATTTAACCGGCAAGTTCGTTTTAATGGAATGTCCGGAATAATTTTTCAAGTCTATGACGTTAAATTTGTTTTCTTTCGAGTCACATTCTCGACACTCTCTATAGTTCACTCGTGAACTGAGATTTACATACAGAAAAACGCTCTAAATTCACTGTAATGAAAAAAAAAAACATCTCTCTCAATAACACCTCTGAGTACGATAAAACAATCCGTCCTTCATGCATGCATGCAATGTCGCTCTACTCCCTCAATGCCTTTTTTTCTCTCCGACATTTTTCCGTGAGCATAGTTGCGTGTGAGTATACATATTAATACTCGCCTAAGCTATTATTGACACTTGGATTCGCCCGCGGGCGCATTAGTATATACTTGCGCGTTTTGTCACTCGTCCGCGCGCGCTAAGTGCCGCACACGCGCTCGTGACTATTTGAATTTTCAAGTGAGTTATTTACTCGCATTTTTTTTTCTCTTGCGCTTTTCCGATGGCGTTTAAGGCTCTGCGTGAACGTATATGGAGGATCGTTTACGTGTTTGACCTATTCAAGATTGAATGGATCGCTTCTTTTCAAAAATTTTCGAGCATGTCTTATTAATTGTCAATAGTGGGATATCTCACGTCGATATTTATGCGCGTGAACTGGTAATTTCACATTCAAAGATTATGAGTCGATTAATAAACAAGTTACTTATTTCATAAATCGAGGATGTAGCGAGAAAACGAGAAAAGATATAACAAATCTTTCTAAGTCACGAATAATTCACAATTTTCTTTCGGACGAGAATAACCGATAAGAAATCGAGCTTGCTAACGTAGATAGATATGCACTGATAATTAACTCTATATCGTGGGCACTTGCACCTCTCTACCCTTCGTCATTTTTCTCTTTTTGATGCACGCACCGAGAGCATCGTATCTCTTACAACGATCGTACGGAGATGATGAGCGAGTTAGTGCAGCGATACTTATACGTCGACCGAAGTTCCTAAAAAAGTATTTTTTCATCTTTGCCACGCGCGCGTGGCATTGGATAAGACGAATGCGCGCTCAGAGCGCTCCTACTGCAAAAGCTTGGATGTATTTTATGTTTGCCCACAAATTGAATCAATCGTTTTTCTCTCTATGAAAAAAGTGAGTTACCGTAATTTCGTAAGTATCGCGTTTCCATTAAGTGAACCCTGCAGCTCGCGCGCGATTACAATTTTTCACGGTTCAATTTACAACCTGATAAAGTGTAAAATTAATTATCGATCTGTGTAACGCGAACGTGGTTTCGCAAAAATTCATTACAACCCCGGCAACGCGCAGCATTGCACTCGAGGCTCTGAGGTCTTTCGAGCACTGTACGCACAAAACAATACGTAAGCTCGTGTTCACGACAGCCAGCGTACCATTAAAATTTCGAGCCTAGTGTCCCGCGGACAATAGCTCGAACAGTCGGTGTAATTATAACAAATTGATACGTTGGTTCCCTAGCGTTTAGTCGAGTAATTGCGCGATCTACACCATTAGCCTTAATGAGCCGACTTTCGAAAAGTCCCCCCCCCCCCCGCCGTTTTTTGAACTTTCTCATGTAGCTCGGCCTCTAAAAGCTGCATGGCACCTCGGCACACATGGCCTGACACTTTTTTTTATATTTTTTTAATTTGGACTGAATTACGAGCGTATACACGTGCGTGAGACGAGGTTTCTTTTTTTTTTTGCCAGATGGTAGAGCATCGATATGTTTTCGATTGGCATGAAGGTTATTGTAGATTTTAATGATGAAACTCAATAAAAATCACAAGACAAACAAGGATTTAATTTTCAACGCCATCGATGAGTAGCGGTAAAAAGAAGATATTATTCGTATCCGTCAAGTGCGCGAAACAAAGCTCAATTAAACTACCGAGAGCTAAAAGATAAACGTTTTTTTCGTTTAATCTCACTCGTCAATCTTTCCAGCTCATCTGATTCACACACGAAATGATTATTTCTTCACACCATCTCGACAAAATGCCCACGCACTTAACAAG